ACATTTTTTGTCCTTTAAAATATACATCTTGGTTGTTTTTAATTTGTTTTGTTTGTTTTTTTTACCTGCTCTACAATAAACTGCAGACAATGTATATAAAAAAAGGAAATTTGTCCGCTGTAGAGAAAAACAAAAAACATTTGTAGATTGATAACAGTCTTAAAGGTTTGCTAAAACAAACTACTATAAAAGCCAGCATAAAATATTTCATTATTATTGATATCTAACAAAGTTTATTGAATGGCTTTGTTGAGTTGGCTTTTCAATAAAACACTTTTATTTTTTTTTTACAATCAAATGAAAAGCTAAAACTATTGCTGATTTAAAAAGATTAAAAATCAGTACATTTCATTTCCAAGTTTAAAGGATGCACGTTTCTCTGCATCTTTTTGAAACGCTTCCCATCTGTGAAAATTTCAACCTTATGATTAATAAACGTGCGTCTACATCAGTAATGTTTTGCCATTTTTGCATTGAGGTTGAGAGCTGCAAAAAAAAAGAAAAAATTCCTGGGGCCACAAATATCCACAAGGCCACACTAGTTTAAACAGTTGGAGAAAACACCAGTCATTCGAACAATTTATTTTTTTTATTAAAGTGACTTTCAACCATTTGAAAGGTATAATGCTGGAATTGAGTACCTTAAATCCTTTGTATTTGTTGGTGAACAGGATCTAGACCGTTTGTATTTTTAAGGAAAATGTGTTTCTGCACACATGCAGACATCGGCTCAGGCATATCTAAAACTGCTGGACCTAACGCCGCTGTGTGAGTTCTACCAGGTATTATCCAAAGCTGACATCAGTCGTTATGTAAAGACTTATGAAAGCTAGCCTCATGGTAGAGGGTCCAGGTGAGCTGTTCAGTCCTTGTCACATCAGTTTTCTGCAATAGAGTTTTTGTTTAACCACTTCCTTGTAGTTTGGTCATTTAGAGTAAATGTTAATATAAAGTTTTTATTTTTGGTTGCTTCTATCTGATTCTGGAAAGGCTCTAGCTCCACAAAAGGCTGGTGTCTGTCTGTGTGTGGGCTGTGCAGTGTACCTTGCACTGTTGCATTGGGACGTAATCTCAGCTCCATTTTTCTCTTTCCTCACTCTCCTGTCTGCTGGGAACAGAAGGCGTTATCAAGCCTAAGTAGTGTTTGAGCTATTAAAAGGTGACCTCCTTTTTCTGGGTCATTACTAAAAAAGAATGGATTGATTCTAGTTATGAATATCCAAAATTTCTTGACAGAGAGGGATGAGAATGGAGAGACATATTTCTTGCCTTGGGGAAGTTAGGAGGGGTTGAGATGAAATGGAGCAGTGGGAGGGGGGTTGGGTCTGTAAGGGTGGAGGGTTGGTTAGGGCATGGAAGTGGTTGTGGGTGGCGCAGTGTGGGGAGGAAACCGGGAAGACAGGCGCGTAGTGTGCTGTCTGGTCAAAGGGGGACATGATGGTTACGAGAGCACAGCGGAGGGAGATCTTGTGACGAGGGTCACGAGAAATAAATCAGACATTAAGTTGAGGAGTGATCTTGTTGCTGGTTTGCAGGAGGAGGAGGTAGCCAACGACATGCCCCGTTTGACTCATTTTTTTTCTCTTGTTTTTGTTTGCAAAACAAGTTGCTTGCTGCTCAGAGTACTAATAGTCATTAGTGTTTAGCCTTCACCGCAGCGCATTGATTGTTGAAGGAAGAGGAGGAGGGGTCATTTGTTGCTATCAGAGGTATTCAAAGGCCCAACTTATTGAAAGGGATAAAGAATTTGATCCCGCCTGTTCATGGATCTGGCTATAACATGCCGCTAACCTCAGAAAGCCCTCGCCACCACCCTCTTCCTCCTCTAAACTTCTCACTGGAGATCAGGCACCTCGTTTCTCTGCGGTGCACCGAAAGATGAAGAGCACAGAGCGAGCCTGAGGGTCTCCATTATATTTGCTGTCTGCAACGATGGAGAGGAGAGAGTAGGGGCGGATGGGAGGGGTTTAAAAAAAGAAGCAAAAAAAAAAAAATCAGGAACGAAAAAGCGAGGAAGACAGAGGAGGGGTTGCTATAGTAACAGAAATATGGCTGCTCTTCAAAAACCTTGAATGTAGGTGGTGGTGAGATGAGTGTGTGTATGTGTTTTTTTTATTTTATTTCCTAACGTTGTCTTCTCTTCTAAGCTTTGCAGATATTCTGGATGTGTTGGAACCTTTCTGATCTCAATAAGGCCTGAAATACCATCAGTTTGACTCTTTATCAGCTATATTATTTAAATGACCTAAGGGTGGTTTTTTAATATATATTTTTTAAGCAGTATGCAGAGTATTGCTGGTTTTCAATCATTCTATCTTATAGTTTTTTTAAGCTAGCCACTCATGCTATGCATCCAGATATGGAATAATGTCTCTTTGGGAGAGAACATTAAAGAGATGCAACCTCTATGCTCACCTTTTTAGGTAGTGGTATCTCACTGTTGGATGAAGGAAATGGCCCTTGCTTTCCTAATGACCTTAATTCAGTTAGCTCAAGTTTTTCCACTCATGTCTTCTTCCTGGAAGTATTTTTTGTGATTTACTAAACTGTAGGACTACTTCCTGACGTCAGACAAGGGAGCTTTGACTTATCGTGATAATGACTAGTTTAATCGACTTGGTATTTAATAGACAAGACTTCATACCAGCTGCATTTGGGTCGAATTATGTATTCATGTAAAGCAGCTGGACTTGAGATATAGGCCTATGGCATTGTCCTGGTTTTATAAAATGAATACAAATCCTACTTTTAAGTTATTGGAGTATCTATAAATGAATTTCCCTGATTTGCAACAATTATTTTTCTGCTACTGGTGTTAATAGTGGCAGCTCAAATAATGATACATGAGCCAAACTATGGAAAAATATGAATTTAAAGATGAGGATCCTATAATCTGAAGCTGAGGGCGGGGTTAGTGTCCCACCAGGATGATGCTGCCAGCAACATATCTCTTAAGTTTCTGAAGCATAGCTGTATCCTTTTCTTCAGTCAAGTTTTTACAGTTGAACTTTTCTTTCTTTTAAGTTTAGGAAAAATAGAAGGTTCAGGTAGGTTACTTTATGTTAGGGGTCTCCAACCTTTCATATCAATGAACAGTTGATTTGTTTTGTTTGCTTCAAACAATGAAAAAGTAAACGATTAATAAAGATGAAGCATCAATTTTCTATACGCTATAATAATAATAAAACACACAATTTCCAAGCTAATTAAAAGAACACTAGTTCTGTTGTGAAAATTCTTGTGACTTATGACTAATGACGGTTCTAAGACTGGTATTATTTAGTTCTTTATATCTTTTTTGGCCTCTATTAACAGCCATTGTACAGGGTCTAAAGAGCCACGTCGCAGGCCCCTACTCTGTTAACAACCTCAAAGACTTTGAGGCCATAACATACTAGAGATGTCCAAATAACAGTGGAAACTAGGACTGAAACAATTAAACAGATTAATTGATCATTGAAATAATCCTCAACTAATTCAGTAATCGATTAATCGCTAACATTGCAAAAAGTCTTCTCTAAGGAACCTTTTGCTTTACGATTTTTAATGGAAAAAAATTGACAATTTAATCGATTTGCAAAAATAATAAATAGTTCCTGCTCTAGAGAAAGCATTATTTGCTGAAGAGCAGATCCTTCTTTCAATTATTAAGGATAGTAATCCAATTAGGTCCTGAATTAAATTTGAATATGTTTTTGCTTTTTTAATTTATTTGGTTTCACTTCTATATCAATTTGGTTTTTGTAAGATTCCTCACTCTGTCCAACCAACCATCAGTGTCTAACTTATGCAGTCTATGTGCGAGAGGCAGGGTACACCCTGGACAGGTCGCCAGTCTGTTGCAGGGCAACACAAAGACACAACTATGCACACACACGGTCACACCTAAGAACAATTTAGAGGTCCAAATGAACCTAACAGTCATGTTTTTGGACTGTGAGAGGAAGCTGGTGTACCTGGAGAGAACCCACGCATACACAGTGAGAATATGAAAACTCCATGCAGAGAGACACCAGGCTGGGAATTGAACCCAAAAACTTCCTGCTGCAAATACTTTCTTGAATAAACATTTCGGATATCGCAATGACTTGGTATAAATTTTGCCACAACTGTTGTGTTCATACAGGATGTATTCATTGGCAAGGTTGATTCCAAAACTTAAGTTCTTCCTTCTGAAGCGTGATGTCAAGAGCAAAAATCTTCCTCAATCAATACCTCAAACATGTGCATGTGAATTTATTGCATTTTTTGTAAACAAAAAAAAAAAAGTAATATTTAAGTTGTTAATGAAGATGGGTTCATATATGAATGACTTAAGGCAACTTTACTGGAAATTATGATCCAAAAGCTTTTGCTAAACCAAGAATCTTTCAATCATTTTAAATTGTAATGTCTATTAAAATCTTTTAACTTGCAGAAAACTGTATAAAATAAGTAAAATGCATTCTGCAGTCTAGAGTTACTGTCTTAGAACAATATATATATATATATATATATATATATATATATATATATATATATATATATATATATATATATATATATATTTTGGACGTATCAGCTTTCATAATTGAAACCTTGTAGGTAGGACTTTAAAAAAAATGTAATTAAGGTAAATGTTTTTTAATGCAGATAAAATGACAATCATTTCATTTAAACTTGCAGAAATGCTGTTTGTTTTTATCTTCATCAGCAGAAAGAAGGAAGAAGTAACCAAGAGGAGGACTAATATGTCTGTTTCTCCATATATCTTAATCTGACCTCTTAAATCTATCTGTTAATAGGATGTTTAAAGTGCAAACTCGGTTCAATTTTTAAACAATTTTATAATAAATTATTTATATCCCTGTTTGCCAAAACATAAGACAGGATAACACTTAGTATAATTTGTTTATAACATCAATGCAAGTGTTTTATTAATAATTCATTTATGGTCTTGTTCTTATACCTAGCTGTTTGTGCCTATGGTGTAACCATGCTTCTCTCTGTGCTGCCTTCAGGTACGGGAGAAAGCGGTAAAAGCACCTTTATCAAGCAGATGAGGATCATCCATGGAGCTGGCTACTCAGACGAAGACAAGAGGGGCTTCATTCGGCTTGTTTACCAAAACATCTTCACCTCCATGCAGGCTATGATCCGTGCCACTGAGAACCTCAAGATCCCCTACAAATATGAACAGAACCGGGTCAGTGCTCCTCTGCAAACTCTTAATAATCCCTGTTTTCAGAAAATACATTCATTTTACAAGAAATGGGTTGCTTTCAATTTCAGGAAATGAGAGTAGCCTTTTATTATTTTTGTAGTGCAATGATTTGCCAGACGTTTGGTTTTACTAGAAAAAATACATTTCTCTAAAAACAGGTTTCCTCCTTTCAGGATGAGCATAGAAAATGATCATGACCTGAAATGCATTTCTTTAGGATACATTCACATTTCTTTAGGTGTCATAAAGAAAGTAAACAATGCAACTAATTAATTTTTAAAACATTACTAGTCATAGATTGTAAAACAAAACAAAAATAGTAAACATCCTAAATGTTCTGTAATAAAGAGGAAGTATTTCTAAGGAGATTTTTTAAAATCTTCACCAAGTCTTCATCAACCAACCTTGTCAATTGATTAGCCCTTTTTTTTTTCTCTCTCTCTTCAATGTACAGTAAACTGGTTCTGGCACTGAAAGTTATGCTAAAATCTGTCTGGCGAAAATATATTTGGAGGACATAGACCTGGTGGGTGGTTAGATGTTTCCTGCTTGTTCTAAGGAGACACTGAGCAAAGCTTTATGCACGGTTCCTACGCACTCTTCAAAAGTGTGGAACAGGATTTTGGCATTTTCCTAGTCTGGATAGCCATAAATCCTAAAATTATGTTGTGATTTCCTGATTCAATTTCTTACCACAGTATTTTTAAGATAAATAATCAAGTTTTGGAAAGATGAATTCAGACAAATGCATTTTTAAAGAGCCATTTCACTGTATTGTTTGGCCCTGTTATCCTAAACCCACATTCCTTCTAGTGAGTTAGTTTTTATATCAATAGAATCAATAGGTTCACTTATGTTTTGAAATGTATAAAATCAAGGCAGCACTGATCATAAACTGCATTTCAGACTATCAGTGTTCAATAAAAGCGTTTTAAATAATGTAAGTTTGTTTAGATGCTACGTGAAGTCTTTCTGTTCTGTCATAAAAACTGATGGAAAAATCTTTTTAAAAATCTGGAGCTAGGAAACGTTTTTAGTAACCATGTTTGTATTAGCAGGCCTTGAGTTCTAATGAATGAAAGTATCTGCTAGTCGGGCTATGAAACAATATCATGTAAACTCTTGAGAAAAAACAGTGCAACTTAAAATTGTCGTTTTAAAATAAATCAGACTAAATGAAACCTGAACTTAATGGTTTAAAACTGGAAGATCTTTAAATATAATTTAGTTCCATTTATTTGTCTAGTTTTACTTTCAGTTCCAAAACTCTGTTTCTAAATTTAGTTTCTTTGTGTCTGACAACCGGATCCTTAAAATAAAGAGGAATCAGAGTTTCTGTGGTGGAAACGATTATCAGGAACAAAGAACCTGAAACTGACATGGAAAGGAATCAATAATTATCAGTATGGATTAATATGAAGGGCTTGTTTTGTGATGCATTTTTCAGCATATCGTAAATCCCTCTACGCCTGGTTATTGATTTACTCAGTTGACCCACTTGGTGACATCTTTTCCTCCTCTTTCCAGGCCAACGCCATGCTCGTGAAGGAAGTGGATATTGAGAAGATCAATGGGTTTGATCAGCACTATGTCGTAGCGATTAAAAGCCTGTGGGCTGATCCAGGGATCCAGGAAGCCTACGACCGTCGCAGAGAGTACCAACTCTCTGATTCCACTAAATAGTACGTCTGCTCATCTTTCACTATGGATTAATATAGAGGGGAATAAATATAATCGTTAGACTGAATAATAATCAATTTTATGTCACCCTCTCTGTTTTTTTTTACTGAGGCTGATTAAATTTTTGTCTCCATGCCAGTCAGTCATTTGAGGACGGACGTTGTCAATATTGAACTCTATTTATACACTTGATAACTCTTAGCTTTTGCACAAATCGTCTATTGCATTGTTTACATTAGTATTGTTCCTATTATTTTAACTATTTCCAACATAACTCTCTCCTCAATACGTTAAAGATGCTTCGCTGTCCGTTTTGATGCCATCAGATATTTTGTCCCAACAGGAGTTTCTGCAAGATGACCACAAGTTTCTAGCTGTGCACACTCATAGCATTCATCTTGCTAGAATGTTTTGCCTGTATTTGATTGGTTCATAACACAGCATGTAAATCTTTTCAATGTGCGTCTTTTTAAGAATTTTATGGACAAAAGTGATGTACGTTTGTTCCCTCAGTCCTTTAAAAAAAAAAGAGGCATTTCTGCTTTGAAGGACTGGTGTTTCACCTTCCCTCTGTGCAGCTGTTACCAACGTAAGCAGTTAAAATGTTGGCTCATTAGAAGATTTGATTTGGAATAAAAAGTTTGGCCTCAAAAAATACAAACACAAATCATGAGGGTGTGGCTAAAATTTAGTTTGCATTAGTCTTCTCACAAAATTAGAAATTTCTTAATAAGATGCATGGGATCCAGCGAAGACAACCCCAGTTGATATCAGCTTGGGATCTTCTTGTTTTTTTGTTTTTTTTTTATTTATCATCTATCATGGAAAAAAGGTAATCCTTTTGCAAACATGAATCAAATATGGTCAAACCTGGAAGCAGAATATGTTCCAAACAAAATAACTGCTTAAAAGCAAAAGATTGGATTAGTTTGCATAACACAAAATCAGTATAGGTCAAAGAGCCAGGGCATAAAACTCTGGCTGTTTCTCAATTCACAAGAAAGCGAGTACGGACTCATGTTCTCGCCAAGTGCGCTCCTGACAAGATTACAGGAAAGTATGGACTTGGGGAGAACGGCAGCACGCAGCATAAATATGGGTCAATTTGTACAGAAGCGTACATGTGACATAGTCTGGAGCTGCATTTCACCTGCTGTTACTAAGTCTCCGGATAATACTTTTTTTAATTAAGTGGGGAAATGATAATTAACACAGTCAGATAAACACAAATCAAATGAACATTTTGCCAAGTAAAAAAAAAAAAAATCACCATCAGAGCCAGCAGTACTTCACACCAAGCTATGCCAAGAGAGGGCTATTGCAGACAGGCTGACTTTAGCCATGGCTGCTGTTTGACTCGGAGGACCACTGGTTGCCGCGGTCCTCTCAACATCGGAAATGTTTTTAAATTATGCACTAGCTCAGTAAATAGACCATATAGTGATGCTTAAAAGTATAATGTTCTCGCCTCAAATGATCTTAAAATGTACTTTTATAGAATGGCAACAGAAAAGAGAACGTTAAACTTAATACTAACTTAATACATGTCTGCTCAGATGCATACTCTGTAAAAAGGGAGGGGTGAGAATATAATCCGGGGACTTTGTCCGTTTTCTGTCTTGTGTTCTTGTGAATTTGAACAGTTCTAGGGCTGAGGCTCATGAGGGTGCACGAGCACACAAGAGTGCACAAGTACACATATTTAGAAACAGCATCTGATTTAAGCTCATTTTATGTTGTATAACAGAACCACTGCTCCATTTGAAGTTCTGTGTCAGCCAGTTGCTAAAATTGGAGTAAAATATCAATTTGTAAGTTTACTATTGCTGGAGCAACTTTGGGCCCGAGTACCCTGAAAGTCTTGACGACTCTGAAGAAAACTAAAATTTTTCTCTTGGCATAAACTCTGAGGTTTAAGGCTTTTTTAGTCTACTTTTTTACTGTAATCAAATACTGTCAATCAAATCTGTTATCTGATTGATTAATTGTACATTTATACACTTAAGTTTTGTCTGTACTGCAGTATAAACTTACTCTGCTAAGGCTGTAAAGCCATTTTATACTGCCCCCTGTTTTGGGTTTGCTGTATTACAGCTGCTTTCATTTTCATGTGTAAGGTTCCCAGTCTGTTTGCATCTTACATGTTTTCTCTCTCTTATGTGAGAAAGAATGGTTTAGTCATCATATCTGTCTTCATTTCAGCGTTATCCACACTGTGTATGTATATCTCCAGTTATCTAAGTGATATAGACCGTGTGACTGCGGAGGGATATGTTCCCACCCAGCAGGATGTGCTGAGGGTCCGTGTTCCCACCACGGGTATAATAGAATACCCTTTTGACCTGGAGAACGTCATCTTCAGGTATCCTCAAAGCACCAGGACTGCAGCATCCATGGTTTGAAGACATAAACCACTGATGGGAATTGGAATAGAGATGAAGTAGCTAAAAAAGTAGAGTTTTACCCTTGTAATTATAAACGAGCAAATATGTTTGTAGAGATGCACAGAGCCAACTTTTTGTGGATATTTGCAAAGTTCTGACCTGCTATTGTTGAGTTAACAGTTCAATTCAGTTTATTTATATAGCTCCAATTCACAGCACATGTCCTCTCAAGCCACTTTACAGAGACAATTCAACCAGATTATACCAACTCCCTTTTAACAGGAAGAAACCTGCTGCAGACACAGGCTCAGCCATCTGCAGCTACTCAATTACGAAGTCTGTAAACTTCAATAGAAACTGATTTAATAAAAATAATATGTTGGAAAATCATTCTTGCTTCCCTGCCATGAGAACATCATTAATTATTTCTGCTGGGAGCAGAAACAACATCACTCTGTATATAGAGAAGTGCCTGGTATAAACAGTCTGATGATTAGAATCGACAAGTTAAAACTGATTTGAGTGTTTTTTATTGGCAAATTGCGCACCTACTGAAATTACAAAAGCATTTAAGTACATTAGATGCTTAACTCAGCCAAGTGATTCAAAATTAATGACGGATGGTTTATCAGCCAAAAGGAGCAACGGTTTGGCCTTCCTTCACTGCAAAAAATGTAAATCTATGAAAGTACATTTTTCTTAAAATAAGTGCATTTTAGCTTGAGTTAGGCAGGTAATTGAGACACTTTGCAAATGGGACAAGACAGTTTACATTTAGAATAAGAAAAAAACAACTGCAGTCTCTTATTTAAAGTGCATAGTATCTAATTATCTTCCTTTAAGGGTAAAAAAAGCTTCTATTGGCAGATCGTCTTATTTATCTGCTCAAATTCAGCCTAAATTAATTTAATTTAAGACATTTTTGTAATTTTTAGATCAGATTTTATATATTTTAGATTGTTTTTGCAGTTGTCTGCTGAATTATTTGTGTTCCTCTGTAAAGCAGTTAGCTAAGAGATCACCTAAAACTCTTTAGGAATCCTAAATAATGATAATAAATCATCCCTTAGGGAAATTTGGTTTGGTCACAGCCCGTCCACACTGAGGGATGCGGTTTCCATGGCTTTGCTGCCATGAAAGGCGGTCCCCATATCATCACCTAGTTTCTTCTGCTTTACAAATGCTCCGTTTTAAAAATCTGAGCTGATTTCTTCTTTTCTCTCCTTTCTGACAGCTGCGGTAGGGAACACATGCTAGAAGACAGGAAATGGAGATCTTACAAAGCTAGCTTTGGGTCTCCTTTATTAAATAAAAGCATCTACACTGAGCAGTGTAGAGTCTGATAGGGCTTAGTGTGGTGGGCTCGCCTAAAAAAAAAAAAGATTTTTTAAAATCAGATTTTAGTAGCCAGGGACCAATATGGTCTAATCAAATGCAAAACTGTCGGGTTTCCTCAGTGCATCTCTACATGTGACTGTTTTTTCCTGTTGGACCTGGCCAACAAATTTTAAATCTGTAACATTACTCCAAAAATTATACATCTGAATGGGCCAAGTTGTCTTATGGATGTAAAACTGCAAAGGATCCAGTTAATCTGGTTAAAAATCAGTGGTCTGTGTTTAGAATGGTGTGGGCCTGAGGCCAGAGCTGCTACACTGAAGCGTGTGGAGAGCAGCCACAAAATACCAGATAAAGACGGATTGGGCAGAGATATCGAGGATTTCACAGGAAATTATGATGAACATTGGGGGAGGGGGTAAAACGACACAAATTGTAAGATCATCAGAATGACTCGTTTCCTGTCTTTTTTTCAAAATAAATATGAAGTTTCCTGTCGTCCTTGATTTGTCCCATCCTTCTTTATGTGGTTCAGATGTTGCTGCTCCTGCTGTTGAGGCCACTGCTGCGGTCCCTGACACCTCCTCACTGTCTGAGCCATAACACATCAGTGACCTGACTCCAGATTGGTTTTCGTTTTAAAACAAAGTCGCTGATAATGACATTTAAACTGGTTTCTGGAAATGGGCCTGATGGAGCAGTGGCTAAGACTTAACACCCTCCTGTTTCTGTGATGCAATCTTTTTTTTTTGTCTGTTTTGTTTTCATGTAAAGCTTTTTCTACAGGACTGATCAGCACTTTCCTGGAACTGTAGCGGTTTGCGATAATTGCCTGTCACGCTTTATGTAACTGTTTTCCTGTCTGTCTTTTTTTTTTTCTATCAATTTCCCGATTGGCCATCTTGTAGTTATCTTACGGATCTGGATCGTATTGCCGATCCCAGCTATCTTCCCACTCAGCAGGATGTACTCAGGGTGCGCATCCCTACTACAGGAATCATAGAGTACCCCTTCGACTTGCAAAGCATCATTTTCAGGTAGAAAAATGCCCAACCGGGCTTCAAACCTCAGTGTTTTTCATCATATAATCAACTCATTTGATTTCTTTTTTTCCATGGGAGGGGGGGCGCTTTAAAAGCATCTCATCCATCTGCATTAACCACAAAAAAAACTTTGTCTATGTCCCATTTCTTTTCCATGCTCTTCTAAATGCTTCCATGCAATCATAAAAAAAGCTAATTTAGTCTCACCTGCTGCCACAGAAGTATCACACAGAACACAACAGCAAATGAACACTAAGCCCTACATTTTGGCGCCCGGTCCTTCTAAATGGGTCGCCTCCTTTTTTTTTTTTTTTTCTTCTCCTTTCCTCCCCGGCCGTCAGAAGAAACAAGGTCGTCCTCTCTGCTGTGCAGAAATGTTATTTTGGGCAGCAGGTCCTGCAGGGCCTATATTGGCCCTGGGTCTCAGTGGACCACAGTGGACTGGGCCACCACCAGAGGGCGCAGATGCACCTGTGCATCAAGAGAGGAGGATTTACTGTACTAAGGGAAACATTTAACATGAGATGTAGGATTTTTCTGCTTTAACCAGGAACAAATGATGCCTAAATAAGACTAGGACCTAAGGTTCCACATGAGTACTTTATCATGTTGTTGAGGAGAGGCATTGGATAACTTAAAAGACAAAAAACTCCTCCAGGAACTCATATTTTCTGTGTGTCAGTAATCAGCAGCTTGCTTACCGCATTTTCCCTGATATAAACTTTATGAACTCATCTGGCCCCAGCTCTTGCATTTGCCCCTCTATTAACTCTTCCTGTCCTCTGTCTGTCCTCCCTCCTTCCTATGTCCCATCTTTCCTCATGTTTCATTTCAATGCATGTTCCGAATCTTCACGATTGTTGTGAAATCTGACAAACCTGCACTGTATAGAAACAGATCCACTTCAATGATGTCATTTTATAAGAGCTCATTCACACACATGCAGATTTCATACAAAGCATGAGATAAAACTGATGTGTGCAGATATAAAGAAAAGTTATAAATACTATGGGAGAGTTGATATGCAAAGTTCAGAGTATTTGCCCCCCTTTTTTTTTTTTTTGCTTGTCTTGGATCATAAAATTAATTTTGGATTAAATGATAAACTTGGAGGATAGAAGCGGAAAAACATTTAATTCATAACCGAACAAAAATGATCCACTGAGCCCGAAAATAAAATGCCCTCCTTGTCAAATCTTTAATTAACTGTTTGACAAAATATTTTTTTTCGACAGGGTAGTTTAAATTCCAACTGTTTAATGCAACTTTAATATTCAAACTATTGAAAGACACCGGATGAGGCTTTAATTTAAAGAGTCCCACCATTCCTACAGCACAGTGGGACAAGATTGACCTTTTATAAGAGAGGCTACTTCACTGCAGTAACCTAAGAAACACATGGTAACTGCAGCCTGTCATAATTTAAAACAAGCTAAACCTAATTTTGGGGGGAGATGGCAGACAAAAGTTGCCAAACATGTTAAATAGGCCATAATGCAAAAAACTTAGATTGGTAACTGCTATGGGTCGCATAGTTTTTTTGTTAAAGCTTAATTTTGCCGCAGATTTTCAATTTCCAGACAGCGCAATGATATCTGCACACATTTTAACTCATGAAGTAGTTGAAGTTATTTTTCAAACCATTAGACCAATTTGGTTAAGGTTTTGAATCCATCAGGTGCATTTGTGTACTTCTATGTGGTCAAACTGTACCGGATTAAACGGATTAAATCATAGGACAGTTGTAATTGTTTTCATGGAGAAGAGGCTTGCTTTTTATTTACTCCAGACTTCAATCATTAGTTTTAAGATAAGTGCATATCTTTGATAGCACTAAATGCATCCTGATGGATTAAAAACAAATAAACAACAAAAAACCTGAACACATTAATGCTGATTTGAACACTAAGCCAAAAACTAATACTATTAGTCTTTGACAGAGCCAGTCAGGCTCATATTGATATACATTTTTCTAACTTGTCTTCCGACCTCGTCATCTTGCCGTCAGGATGGTGGATGTCGGGGGTCAGAGGTCAGAGCGGAGGAAGTGGATTCACTGCTTTGAGAATGTCACCTCCATTATGTTTCTTGTGGCTTTGAGTGAGTACGACCAGGTCCTGGTGGAGTCTGACAATGAGGTGAGTGAGTAACTATAAACTATTAACTTTGTTAGCATATCTGAGCTTCAGAGAGGAGTTAACTCTGAATAATTGCTTTTTTTGTGTGTGAATTGTTTGGTCTTATAAATGTATTTTGAACCGTGAAAATGTAGATTGTTGTAAATTTCCTTTTCCCTTTTATATCAGAACCGCATGGAAGAGAGTAAGGCTCTGTTCAGGACAATCATCACCTACCCCTGGTTCCAAAACTCTTCAGTCATCCTCTTCCTTAACAAGAAGGATCTACTAGAGGAGAAGATTGCTTATTCGCACTTGGTTGACTACTTCCCTGAATTTGACGGTGAGTTAATAGTTTAGATGCCCCAACGCCGTTAGTTTTTTTCCAAAGAAGTTGCATTTCTCTCATGTCTAATGTAATTTCCTGTATCATTTCCAGCCTCGGCTCATAAAAATATACTCTTGAACTATCCACGCACCTATCCAAAAAAAATTTGTTCACTTCCGATTCAGTTCTTTATAGTTGTATATCTGCAGGTTTCAATATTTTTCTGATACCGTTATCAACTTAAATCCTGATTTTTAGGAGGCTGGCCTAAAGTCATCTCTGCAAGCAAAAGATATATGTATCAATGTACACAAGGTGACTTCAGATTAGTATAGGATCAAATAAAAACAATAAATTGTGTCTTGAAAGCAAATATTTATTGAATTAAAATTATAGAAATACATAGACATCTGCCCCTATGGATCGAGACCATTTTCAGATTGCTTTTAAAGGATACCTTAGCTAAGGAATTGTGACAAACTCATACTAAGGCACCAAAACTTGTTGTTAAATGTTGATTTTAGGACATAGCATATCCACAGAATCCATTCCCACAGATACTGCAGCTTTTTTAAGCATCTGTTTGATTGAGGACCTTTGGTTGGGTATACAAGCTTCAGGGTTTGTTGCACTTGTGCCAAATACATTTTCGATATTTCACTGGGGTGATTTATTGAAACATGCACGTTTCACAGCAGGGATGGCTTGTTTCAGCAAAGCAGCTGTTCCACCTGCTATTAGCTCTGTCACTACCCGGAAGCATGATCCGTACCATCAGCTCATTTGTACGTGCACATCCAGATATACACCTGGATTGCCCTCGATTTTAGTTTGTAATAAAGACCTAAATTACTTTTATCCCTCCCCAAATAATAAGCCTACTTAACTGTAATGTGTTAAGGGTTAATAATGTATTCCTGAGATAATAAATGCCTTAAAATCCTTTCTGGATCCTGTCTGAAATGGGATCCTACGCTAATTCTGGGAGCTAACTTTTTCAGCTTTGGATTTAAACATAAATCTAGTCTTTTTCAGTTTTATGTTTCCCTTTTGTGTTAACATTATGGCATATAGTGCATCATCTAGAAAAAGAAACAACAAAAATTCAGATTAACATGGTTTATCATATTTTGCCAGACTACTCTGAGCATGTCCGATGTTGACGTCAGACAAACAGTTGAACTGAGAAAATGTAAAAAGCGTCAAAACTTTCTCAGAAAAGTCATAAAATAGTTTTTAGAGCTCTGTTTTAGAATTCTTTAGTGAGTTAAGGATCGAAATAAGTAATTTTAGTATCATAATTACATTATTTATTGACACCCAGTGGTATATCTGGTTGCGCATGAGCAAATAAGCTGACGGTACGGATCGTGCTTCCAGGACGGATCGGGTAGCGACTCCACTATTTGACTTTTGATCAATTGTAAATGGAAAATCTTCTGATTTACTTCTTCCCAAATCCTTTTATAAAGGGACTTTAAGCCGGGCTTACACTGTGCGATTTTATTTGTTGTTTGCCCTTTTCGGGGTGACTTTCCAGTCATGTAAGATTTTTTCCAATTTTTCGTACGTCGTGTAGTGTACAAGGGGCAACGAGGGGCGATCAGCCTCTCACGACCGACTCCCAATCAGGAATCGTGAGGTTGGGAGAAGATCAAACATGTTTGATCCTCTGCTATTTGGTGTGTGCTTTAGCTGCATGCATCGACTGAAAAGATTCCACAGTGTATGCCCGGCTTTAATAGAGTAAATGAATACTGATGATGATCAATGGTTGAATACAGCGGCTATGCTGCTACAATATAATACATGCTGGTCTGTTGTATCAATTTGATCAAAATGCTCTGAGGTTTGGGATTTTGATAATATATGCTTATAGGTGAATTATATTAGGCTTTGTGCATCTGTCTTGAGGTTATTGCTATAGAATGGTCCGAGCACAGTTAAAACTACATCCACTGGCAAAAATGATGGAATCACCGGCCTCAGAGGATGTACATTCAGTTATTATAGTTAGTAGAAAAATAGCTGATCGCATTTCAACACATTTGCAACATTGCATGGTGATCTAACCTCTTTTAAGAGTTTCATAATCTTCTCCTTTGTTTCAATTGACATCATGTTGCAGCCATGATTCATGTCCGTCCACTTGGTGCAGCAGCTCTCTAAGGTTTAAGCTTTTTAGATGCAGGCTAACGTGCAGGTCTAATTTGATGCAGGTGTTAGTTTTGGGGATGGAAATTTACAGGGTGATTCCATAATTTTTTTTCCCTCTGCTTGGTCTAAAATGGTAAAGGTTACTGATTACCACATTTTTCTTCTTGATTTCTTTTAGTGTTTCTTAAAGCCAGAGAGTTACCAATGAAATTACCTTAGTTTTGTGTCATGTGTGGGATCTGATTTTTTTCCCTACAAAATTAAACATCGGAGGCCGGTGATTCTGTAATTTTTGCCAGGAGTTTTACTGTTCACCCATAGGTGGCTACTTTCTCGGCATAGGCAAAGAAGGTGTAATTCACCACGAAAAAACTGAGTTGGTAAAATTAAGGGCAGTCCAACAAAAGACAAGAATAAGAAATGAAAATTTATGTATCAACAAACTCAGTTCTTAAAACAGTCATAACAAGGTATTTTACATATTCAATCCTTCCAAACGTCTTTAAATTAATTTCTAATTATTTTTAGAGGAAAATAATAGAAGTCGTTTACGATCCTGTTACCTCAATTTACTGATGTAAATCCAGTTCAGGTAGGGGAACTAAAATCACTGTTTGTGGAGAGCGCACCCTTGTGGGCTTCTCTGGTTTGAACAATGAACAATCTGCAAAAAAAAAAAAAAAAAAACACTTTCACGCTCTTTATTTTTCAGTTTAAACTGACTCCCAACTCCAACAAACACAATTTAACAACAACTTTTTGGTTGTAAAGTCTGCCTTGTCATATAGTTTTTTTTTTGTTTGTTTTTTTTGTTATTTACAAAACAGATGGTGCACTGCTGACATATAACCCTAGTCTTTCAAAGCAACACCTTTCAATTTGTGTTTTAAATATTGTAAGTCAACCATATTTCTTGAGCTTTCTTTAAATAAAAGAAGTATGCATCTATGATGGTGTGGGACCAGTCTAGACGTGTTATTCCCCAGTTTGGCTGGTGTCCTCCTTTTTTTGCTGGCCACTAGCTGGCTCTGGAAGCCTCCCATACCAAAACGGTATGTAGCTCTAGGTGCTGCAGCCTTAACATTGATGCTCATACTCTGTCAAAGTTTACTTGGATTTTAAGATGATGTGTAGAAAAGAGATATATTCATTCAAATCTGTCTCTCCTTCTCCAGGTCCCCAGAGAGATGCTCAGGCAGCGCGAGAATTCATCCTCAAAATGTTTGTGGACTTGAACCCAGACAGCGACAAGATCATCTACTCCCACTTCACCTGTGCCACGGACACTGAGAATATCCGCTTTGTGTTTGCGGCCGTCAAAGACACCATCCTACAGCTCAACCTGAAAGAGTATAACCTTGTGTGAAAGAGGGATGCGACTGTGCTTACAACCCTGCCCCCACCCCCCCATCCATTGCACAAACACGCCCCACTTTCAGGGATGTCCCGTCAACGTAACACGCATCGCACAGCGCAGCACTCTAGCTCTCACACACTCGAGCAGAACTGTTGCTTTTGAATCTTTCTTTCCAGTGCAGTGAGTTTCCAGGTCCTCCCACCGTCAGTCATACCCCTGCTTTCACCAAAGCCGCTCCCTCCTTTTCTCGGCAGCTTGTTGCATCAGTCTTCGACCTTTTAAAAAGCTGCTCCGTGTGTCAAGCTGCACACAGTTTTTCTTTGTTTTTTTAAGACGGCTAAACTGCGACCGGAAGGGATTTTCATCGGCATTTGTATATCTACGTGCACTCAACGCAGTTTTTATCGGCAATGAATTTTGGTCTAAACCGAAGATTAATCTTAAACCCCCTCCCGCCGCCTGCAGAGTTGGCCCCTCCCTCCTTTTCCGGCAATGTGGAAGAAACTAACTCATTCAGCTGGTGACATCTTCTATAAACAAACACAGAAAAGATGCTCCAGAGCGACGGAATCAGGATGCGAGGTCACACACCTGAACAAGGGGCGGACACCATCAACTTGCATCTATGAATGTACCCCCAGGTGTGAGCTTCACAACTGCAAAAAAAAAAAAAAATCTGAAAAAAAGACGTATATTATAAATTTGCAACATATTTATGGGGTTTCAACAACAAGCAAGGGGGTCCGAGAAAATCTGTTTCTGAGATTTTTTTTTTTAACAGATTTTTACAGATTTGGAACAAAATATATATTGCAACACTAAAATTACTGAATCATTAAAGCTGAAAATTTATAAAAAATTAGCAAAATTTAAACAAAATGACAAAAAAAAGCTAATGTAAATTTATTTGAAATTTAAGTATCCTTGGGATAAAGTTTTTTTTGTTTTTTTTAGTTAAAGTTAATCACACGCTTCCCTCCTCCAAAAATGTATTCTGTATGAATTTACAGGGACAACCTTCCACATGACGCAGCACTCCGAACATCTGTCGCCACTGACGCAGATGATGTGAAACTGCTCTCTAAGTACATGACACTAGAAAGCAGCAGGGTAAAGGACCCCACGTTGGAAAGTTTGCACACTCATTTGTGGAGCTCGGCTTCGAGCAGCTAAATCGGCGACATAAAGGCTGGAAACTCTACATGTCCGACGACATCACGCTTCCCGACGTGACGCAGTCATCGACATCAGGATGTGCTTCTTACGTTTCCTTTTTTTGACGTTGGGTTTTGTTGAGCGATGTACAAAGGGGAAAGGGAGGAGGATGCGCCTTTCACAGAAAATACTCTAAAAGTCTGCAAATGTTTTTTGTGTATACCTGTAAATACATATACACAAAACTCTCTGTATAAAACAAGTGCTCTGTGGTACACCTTTGGTTTTTGAAAAGAAAAAAAGGAGAAAAAAAGACTTTCTTTAGCATACAGTTTTCTTCTATGAATTTATGGTAGTATTGAAACTGTGATTATGAATTTTGTTCACTAGATTAATAGGATTTCAAAGAGCCGCACGATGTCGAGGAAACGAAGCGGGTGGTCGGGGAAAAAGGCTAGCCTCTGAACGCCACACTACTGCAACAGCTCTGTTCAGAATAAAGCTAACTAGAGCTGGTTCAACAACAACAAAATCTTGACGGTCTAGGTGAAAGGATGATTTTGAGATTAATTAAAGATTTTTTTTTTTATTTATATAATTTATGGACCAGGATGAAGGTGTTGATAATTTGACTGCTTGTGTTTGTCATGTTGAAGGGCTCCTTTCTCTCATGGCAGAACCTACTTGAGTCTGAACTGCTGTTAAGAAAAAGAAAAAAAAAAAAAAAAAAAAACCCGAATGTCTGGTATAGTAAGTACTTTATCTCTGCTTTCTATTTCTTATAGACATTTCCAGATGTACTTCCCATTACATTTCCATCCATTATGATACTTTTTTCTTACTTTAGGGATCCTTCACATTTTTTTTTTTCAAATCTTTTTTTAAAGAATTATTTTCTGTTGGGTTATAGATGCAGCGCTGTAATACATACCTAGAGAAATGTACAGTACAAAATAGGTGGACTTTTTTTTTTTATCAGTGATTGAAGACCTCTGAGGTTCATGCTTGCTATTTGTAACTTAACAAAAGATGAAACTTTTTTTTTTTTGCTATACTTTCCAATTTTTGGAGGCTTGCTTTGAATAGTGCCAGTGAAGTGCAGATATACATTTTCCTTTGGTCTTGTACATGACCTTTTCTACATGTGATTTACCCTTCATCCTCATTAAGGGCTATATCACAGTGCATCCGACAGCGGGGAGTGGAGTAAAGGACCACAGTGAACCAAGTCATCCACTATTACTACTACTACTACTACTACATGTTTAGAAAGAGATTATTTGCTGTCTGTGCTATTAAGAAGTAAAGGCAGAGTGTTAACACAAATGTAAGGTGCGTGTATGTGTGTGAGTAGAGGGTTTTTACCAAAACTTAAGATGCTTTTAAGTAATTTTTTTTTTCCTGATTTCCTCACCACATTTTGTTTGTATCGCAGTGTTGCTTGTAATCCATCATAAAGGTGACGAGACGCTTATCAGTACAAACACTACTACCAGAGCAAGTATTGCATGACTTCCCCCAAGTATTAGAGATGCAGCTAGTCGGCCAGGAGCTGTCCAGACCATACTGGTCTCTTTGCATATTTTAACCTGTGTCTATTTCTGCTTTCATGGCAGCTAAAGGAGGTGGAGTTGCGGTATTAATAATATGCGCCTGATTTATTTTGTTTTAGTAAAATGTTGCAGTTTACCAACTTGTTGAATTTGAGGACACTAATTAGGGGTAAAAGTCCCCAACCCCTGTTACTGCTTTATGAAAAAAATGAACCATTTTCATTACATTCAAGCAAATATGTGACTAATTCCAGTCACAAGGGTAGTGTAGAAATAATGAATTGAGGCTCTGTTTAAATATAAGCAGTGGAGAACTATTAAGATCTTTATTTAGTATTTAAAGCACGATAAGTTGGTCCCAGGGACCTGAGCTAGTCACGTAATGAACGGTGTAGTTTTTCCTGTAAAATGGAAGACGTCATGTCTCTGTAGTGTATACCATTAATTCTGGAAGCTTGTTTCACCTTTTCTGCTTCCTGTCACTGCATTTTTATCAGCTAGCTGATTTTACAAATGGCCAACTTCCACACTGAAGAGTTGTTTGCAGCGCAACTTTGTAACGCTTGGGGCATTAGTAAAAAAAAAAAAAAAAAGGTTTTCTGAGGGGGCATTTACTAAAAATCATGGTGCATCTCCGCTCTCGACCCCCGTCACCACTGATCTTACTGTGTGAACAGTGATAAGAGATTTATTCTCTTTTTTTCTGGTTGTAGTCATCTAGTATTTATCAATGCTGTTAAAGGCTATGCTGGTTTTATTTTTACACCATATTAGTTTTCTGCCTACTTAACATCATGTGTCAAGTTCATGTTTCACACAGGAAGCTTATTAAAGGTGCACTGCTTCCTACTTCATTTCTTCAAAGAAAGCCTTTGTTTAAAATGGACCCCAAATAGTAATTGATGGTTTACACTTTGATAAAATTATTTTTGCCTACTTTTCAAATGCTTTATTCAAATTTGTCAAGAAGTAATTTTCCTTAGGTAAAATGTCCTTCAAAATGCCTTAACAGAACCCGATGTAGAAAGATCCAGAACTGCTGCTTAACCTCCCTGATAGTTCTGTCCATGTTTTACTCTTTCTCTATAAAAGAAACGTAAAGAGCCAATTTCAAATAGAACTTGGTTAAAATATGCAACAGAGCCAGTATGCTGTTTCTTTACTACAATTAACACTAACCTCTTCCTGAGGAGTGACTGCTGCTATCACTGTCTTCATATGGAGAGGATCACAGTAAGCCTAACCAAGTGTTTATCAGGAGTGTTATTCCTACTTTTCGTTAAGTGCAGCTCATCTAAATGGTTCCAGACCATGTATTTGCTAAATAACTTGACACGTGGTGAAGGGCCAGGTGGCTGTTGGTGTGGGTTCAATCTTCTAGTAGTCTTTTTTTGTTTCCCCTCTTCATTTTGGACATTTATTTCAAAACAACCGGCAGAGAGGGATGCAGTTCAGCCTCCCCTCACTCATCAGCATTTTATTTCCCTTCACACTATTTTGTTTGCATTACATTACATTTTGCCTTGAGTAAAGCGAAATGGTCCTTTTATGTTTCTGTAAGCATGTCAAATTAAGGGAAATCAGATCTATCTTTCATTTTCTGTATAGAGCTAGACACTCGGCCCAAAGGTTGTTTCCTTTATATGTAATATAAACATTTCCTGTACACTGTATTTTCTTTTTTTATTATTTTGGACCACTTCATTTAGTTTTTTTCCTCACTCCAATGAAAGCTGAACTTCAATCATGTGGTTTGTATAAAATGTGTTTTTATTTTCTATCTGAACCAACATGTAAATGATGTATTATTCTGAGTGTGCCAACCCCACTCTCCAGAGCCAGGCTCTCTCTAAGTGCCAATGATGTGGTCATTATCAGAAGGACCACCATTTGAGAGGGAGGGGGGGAGGGCTCCCCTTTGTTAAACAAACCAGAGACTGAGGTGATAATTATGAACACATAAAGATTTTATTCTGTATTTAAGATTGATTAATTTGAAAAATAATTTGTTCTTTTCATTTTTTTAAGAAACTGTAATTATATCTGCATGTGGTGTTTGTTTTGTGTTGAAAGTGAGGGCTTGGATGATTTCACTGAAGTAGAACCCTTAATTGAATAGGGTTCAATCAGCTGGTTATAATTGATTTACAGTAACTTTTGCCATATTTTTTTTATGTGTTTCATGTATTTGTTTCAACCACTGTTGCCTGATCCTCATTCAAACATGACTTATGATCATTGTCGCCTTCTAAGAGAGAAACATAATGACAAGGTATCTGTTTTAAATTGAAATAAATTTCTTCCTATACTTGCCGATGGCGTGTCAGTGGGTTTTCTACAAATTAAGATGGGATGTTTTGGAGTTTGCCACATGGTCAGTTTTCATGTTTAAAAACTGCAAAACTGGTGCAGGGGGATCAGTAGTGTTTGTTGCATGAATGGCATCCTGAGCCAGGCCCTCCTGCTACACCCTTATTACAAACAAAAAAAATCTTAACTGAAAGAAATATTAATATTAAAGAACTCATCAGTGTGGAAAAATCAGAGATTTGATGTGTAAGTATGCAAAAGATTTTTATACCTGTAAAGTTCCAATGGAGACCAGACTGCTTCAAAGAAAAAAAGTTACACAATTTACAGCTTGCTTTTTGGGTCTCCTGTTTATGACCCTCTGGGTAGAAGGCCATATTGCCTATGTCAGAGGTCGGCAACCTTCACAATCTGTTTCGCCCTTAATGATGGAACTGATAAAATGAAAGTTATCACCATAATACTTTGAAGACTCATTTATTTTTATTTTTTTAACTATAAAAAGAATATTTAAAAAGAAAACATCTACATTTTTTTAAGGGAAGGTAATAAAACCATTTTCTTGAATGAAGCGTTCCAGATGTACATTAAAAGAACATACAATTCACAGCCTAATAAGCAATAACCAAGCAGATTTAATGCCAATCTGTTGCAGGAATCTTCTAAGCTTAAATTGACTTAATGCTCTAATTAAAGCCTTATAATTTACAATGAAAATGGTAAAAATGGCCAGCATCATTTTTCTTGCATCATGGAGGAATGTTCTTTATGACTTAACTACTTGAAAATGAAACCATAGGACTTGGACTTTTTTTTAAACATGTTAAAATTGACTTTAACTTGACTTTAAAGAGTTGAGACTGACTTGTGACGTTGCATGTCCACAGCAACTCTGTATAGCAGTGGGATTCAAGCAATAGTCGATAATCAGTGTTGAGATTTTTATTTATTTATTTTTATTATTTTTTTTTTTACAATTGAGTGACTTACCAGAGATGAAAGAAAAGACAGCATATTGAATATTTTATCATTAACTTTTTTTAATGATGCTGCAGCAGGAATCGAAAGGTTTCCATAACCCATACTCAGATTAGAGAAGCATATTAGGCAGAACCACAGAAACTCCAGCTGAGACAAAATGTCTGCAGGTGTCAAGAAAAATAGGGCAGAATGAAACCATTCATTAAAAAAAGGAATGGATGAGTAGGGATCAAATGGAGTGACATACATTTTCAAATATATATATATATATATATATATATATATATATATATATATATATATATATATATATATATACACACTATATTGCCAAAAGTATTTGCTCACCTGCCTTGACTCACATATGAGCTTAAGTGACATCCCGTTCCTAATCCATAGGGTTCAATATGACGTCGGTCCACCCTTTGCAGCTAGAACAGCTTCAACTCTTCTGGGAAGGCTGTCCACAAGGTTTAGGAGTGTGTTTATGGGAATTTTTGACCATTCTTCCAGAAGCGCATTTGTGAGGTCGCACACTGATGTTGGACGAGAAGGCCTGGCTCTCAGTCTCCGCTCTAATTCATCCCAAAGGTGTTCTATCGGGTTGAGGTCAGGACTCTGTGCAGGCCAGTCAAGTTCATCCACACCAGACTCTGTCATCCATGTCTTTATGGACCTTGCTTTGTGCACTGGTGCACAGTCATGTTGGAAGAGGAAGGGGCCAGCTCCAAACTGTTCCCACAAAGTTGGGAGCATGGAATTGTCCAAAATGTCTTGGTATGCTGAAGCATTCAGAGTTCCTTTCACTGGAACTAAGGGGCCAAGCCCAGCTCCTGAAAAACAACCCCACACCATAATCCCCCCTCCACCAAACTTTACACTTGGCACAATGCAGTCAGACAAGTACCGTTCTCCTGGCAACCGCCAAACCCAGACCCGTCCATCAGATTGCCAGATGGAGAAGCGCGATTCGTCACTCCAGAGAACGCGTCTCCACTGCTCTAGAGTCCAGTGGCGGCGTGCTTTACACCACCGCATCCGACGCTTTGCATTGCACTTGGTGATGTATGGCTTGGATGCAGCTGCTCGACCATGGAAACCCATTCCATGAAGCTCTCTGCGCACTGTTCTTGAGCTAATCTGAAGGCCACATGAAGTTTGGAGGTCTGTAGTGATTGACTCTGCAGAAAGTTGGCGACCTCTTCGCACTATGCGCTTCAGCATCCGCTGACCCCGCTCCGTCAGTTTACGTGGCCTACCACTTCGTGGCTGAGTTGCTGTCGTTCCCAAACACTTCCATTTTCTTATAATACAGCTGACAGTTGACTGTGGAATATTTAGGAGCGAGGAAATTTCACGACTGGATTTGTTGCACAGGTGGCATCCTATCACAGTTCCACGCTGGAATTCACTGAGCTCCTGAGAGCGACCCATTCTTTCACAAATGTTTGTAAAAACAGTCTGCATGCCTAGGTGCTTGAATTTATACACCTGTGGCCATGGAAGTGATTGGAACACCTGATTCCAATAATTTGGATGGGTGAGCAAATACTTTTGGCAATATAGTGTATATACCGTACATATATTAGCCATTTTTAAAGTTTGTCAAATTTGCTCACATATAGAAATGAAAAAGAAAATTATCTTCTAAATTAAGATGCGTAGCTTAGAGAATAAAGGGAAGTCACCGGAACAACTGAGATATAATTGAACTTTCACAATGAAAACCTTTGCAGTAATGCAATGTGCAGAGAAAACTACCTCCTCTTAGTGCTTGATATAATAATAATTGAAGTTTATTGATCTCAAATTGAAGAAATTTACCTCTACATTTAACCCATCCCCTTGCCCTGTCAACACACCCATGCAGGGCCCATGCGGTTTGGATGTTGGCTTGTGAGTGTGCCCCACCTCGGCTGCCAAGCTTTGTCCAGGGGTTCCATGGTGGCCCCCATGTCCCCAAGCCCAGATGGGCTCCATCTAGGCTTTCTTGGTTTCTCCAACAACAGGGACCCAACCTCAGGATTCCAAGCTCTATGCCCTAACCACTAGGCTGCCACTACCCTTGTGGCAGAAACCATACTTATTTTAACATTTTACATTTTGGTCAAAAACACAATGAAATAGGAATAAATGAGTTTTTTATATTATGGGACACACAAAAACAGGTCAAAGGTACATCATTTGTTTTTTTTAAGTAATCCACAAGGCCTCATATTTATTACAGCACAACATCACGTCTTCAACTGTTTCATCTACCCCACAATATTCACATTTACCATCCCCATGTTAGATAAACAGAGTACTGTTTAATCCAGTGTGACCAAATCTCAATCAAGAAATTATTGTTTCTTCTCTTCTTGTTCTTCCTGTTTTCTTTTGAATTTTATAAAACCAATGCCCTTTTTTTCCTTTCTCCCATTCGTTTTGCCATTTATCCTTCATTTTCTGCTTAATTAACATTTTAACTTCCGATTTACTAAAACTAAAAATTAAATCCACTGATACATTTCTAATAGCTTATTTTGCTGCCTGATCTACCTGCTCATTTCCTTTAACTCCACAATGTGCTGGTATCCATACAAAATGTATTATTAAACCCATATTTTTACTATATAGTGTCTGTTGAATTTCTATTAAAATATCTGGCCTGCTTTCTGAGTGATTATACAGCAAACTAATTAAGGAATATGAACAAACAACTGATCTTAATGGCTTATCTTCTTCAACCCATTAAATAACTAATAATATTTTAATCATTTCTTCTGTATAAAGTGAAAGTCCATCACTTATTCTTTTTTTAGTTTTAACATTGAATTCTGGTATTATGAAAGCTACTCCTATTTGATTTGTTATATTTTTAGAAGCATCTATATACATTTTAACATAACTATGATAATTATTAATATATTCCTGTACTACATATGAGTTTAATATGAATTCCTTATCCTTTCTTCTTTGCAACAAAGTAAAATCTACACTAACATCTGGAATCATCTATAGTTGTATAACTGATAATGGAACTGTTTGGTTTATATTTTGTCAGCCTGGCCCTGCCTAGTGCGGCCATGTTTAATATATTGACTGGCCACATGGGGCGCCCGCGCGCGCCACCGCTGCTCGGTTTGTGTTCCGGGTGATGTCCGTTCCTCCCATCAAGGCGGTCGCTGGGGGGGGAGCTCGTGTGTCAACATCCAGGGTTTTCCCCAGGGAGGCGTAGCATTAATACCTGATGTTGCCTTGAAACAGTCTTTTCTCAAACGGTAGCAGCTTTCTGTACTACAAAAAGCAGTAGAAGACGCACACCTTCACGCGCCGCTTTGACGTTAGCTAATGTTATTTCAAAGGATGACGGTGTACAAAGTGCCAGCAGCCTCTCCGGTAATTTAATAAGATCTGGGGGACGTGCTAGCTTAGCTAGCTGGCCTTGTAGTTTGGGCGAGACCAGGGAAACGCTGCGAAACGCTCTGCTGACATGATGTTTCCTCAATCCAGGCACACGGTGAGTAACCCCAGCCCGGGTGAACTTGTCCCGGGGAGGAAACGAAGCTAAGCTATGCTAACGTTAGCTAGCAGCCGATAGCGGATACCATGAGCCCTGTAGGTAGCTGTCAGCTGGCTGCCACAAAGCCAGACCTCTGGCTGGATTAGTTTAACAAGGTTTAAAACATATAATCACCAATATTAACGCATTATTATACTTTTTATTTTCAAATGCTAACTTTTAGCTTTAGCTAGCATTGCTGAAACAGCTAACCTAATATAGATAGGTGTGTTGCTTATTTCAGTGTTTAAAAAAATACTTTAAGCGGGGATATGTATTATTTGCACATTAAAAAAAAACCCACAAACATTTGTTTTGTAACATTTACGCACACATATGCCTCATTTGACTGGATATTTTTGCCTGAGGACAAATATTCCGTGTCCTTTTGTCTGAGCTCTATAAGTATCTTGTGCTGCAGCTTTGACTAAGCTGTAAAAACAAAGTAATGTATGATTTGCAACAAACAAAATAGCTCTGCTGCGAAACTAAAGTATGTGCACTGACCGTTCCTCAGCATTTGGTCGTCTAAAAAAATAAATATAACTTACAAACAAGGAAGGTAAGAGGTTTCAAATCCAAGAAAATGTTCGAGATTTGAAGATATTCTGTACTTTTGATAGCACAGGGATTAAAAGTGAAAAATAATTAGACATAAATATGTTTTTGTGTACAATGTCCCTCAACATAATCACAGTTACTAGTTAAATGAGTGGTCAAATAAAAACCTCAAACATAACACAATCTTTTTAAAAGGTTGGTTGATGTATTTTATGTCAAATAATCCAGCAATCTAAAATTAATAACAGCAAAAGTATGTATGAAAAAACATTTTATTTTTAACACTATGCCAGAATACTATGTTATTCTGATGCAGCTTTTAAGTATCAATACTTTTTGAAGTATTGATACCTACAAACCTGGTAAGAAGTGTATAATTTCGCAGCAAAAAATTGGTAATAATCGGGGATATAGATTGGTTCAGGACGTAAGGGTTACTCCTTTTTTTTAATATTATATTAGATTAGGATTATTCTGATACATTTTAATGACACCTTACCTTGCAAACAACGTGAAGTTGTGAATTCACAGATCTGTGACAGTACATCTTGCCAGGAGCCAGCAGATGCTTATGGCTTGATATAGAAATGTTTCGAACAAATGAAATGCAGGGACGTGCTGGATCAGAAAATTAACAAATGAGACTAAATACCAGAGCACCATTCGCCAAAAGTCGACTAAATATGGCGGTATATAGTGGGAGCCAAGCGTAAAAAAAAAAAAAAGAGCCTGCGTTTTGAAAGGGGCTGGCTTATTTATGACGATGATGCTAAGCTTATGAGCTGCTCATCGGCAGCAAAACAGAACAGAGAAATATTTGCTGGCTGTCAATCTATGAAACTGGAGAGCATCTGTGATTACCAGGGTTTCCGCAGGTCATTAAAAGTCATTATATTATTATTTTTAAAATTAAGGTTTAATTTGGCATCACAATTAATTAAATGTGATTATTTAGGCATTTAAAATGCTTTAATAAAAAAGTGGTGAACTCAACCCCATGACGGCGCTCACTGCCCTGCTCTCATCTCGTGCTACTAGATAGAACTGAGGTCTTGTCAAACAGCAGCACCGCAGGGTGAGAGAGGCGCGATGATCGCTGAAATTTAAACGAGCTCAACCTTTCTATGAAGTCAAAACATGGCAGCCGACTGGTTGTAGGTGAAGCTTTTTTCAATTAAAATGGATTACAGAGAAAAATAATGTTAACAAAGCTAGAAATAAGGAATGCTCTCAAAAGGTTTTTAGGTGGCTTTAAAAAAAAAAAAAAACATTTTAATTTAGTCAAGAAGGACTGTTAATCGTCCTCACTTACCTCCAGCACAGACCCCAGACTGTCACTGCCCAGCATCGCTGCTTTCTGTGGGAATAGATTTACGAATCAGAGCTGCATCTGATAAACTAAGGTGGACTCTTTTTTTTTTTTTTTTCAGTGCTTTTGGAGCTTTTCCAAAAAGTTGATGGTCTCCCCTAAGCAATTCAAAAGTTGCTCATAGAGAACAAGGTCCGAATCAAAGGGTCTTGGAGGCTGGTAATTTACTTAATATTAAACAATCATTTCAGCCACTAAATAAGGTAAACATGCCCACTGTTACATTCAATGCCAACACAGGAAGGATGTGATGTTATGTAATAACTTTATATCAGGAAGGAGCGCAGCACTAACGTCTGCTGGGATGGTGACGCCATCAGCCATAATGAAAAATGATTCTATCCTAAAAATCAAACAACAGCTTTGCCTGCTGAAATAAAGTAGCACTGAAAAGCAGGCTTGATCATTTTGATTACATTTAGAGCTTAATGGGGGTTAATTGACCTCTGGGTGACCTAGAAAATAATCTTAAATATCTCTGAAACAACAGTAGCACACATGATCTTAATTTTTTTTATTTGTTTTTATTTTTTTTAACAAATGATCAATTTTTCATAAATGCTCAAACCTGCAATAATGAAGCAGTAACCATTCAGTCTGTTTGCTGAGTTTTTTTTTTTCACGATGGTGGGGTGTCAGCTTCATGCAGATGAAGCGAACAGGTGTTTACATACTGACACGGTCCAGGATGTAAACGCTTACCGTAAAATCTCTAATATTGGCCTGTATTTCATTAGCAGCCGGGTCTCTAATAATGGCCTGTCTGGCTGTCGGTGGAGGTAAATACTGGCCATACTCTTATACAGGCCGGGGCTATTATTAGAACCAACAATGTTTCTTGGCAGTCCTCAACAATTTGTGATAGTAAAAGAGTACCACAGGGGGGCAATGTTTGCTAACGAATCCAACCATTAGCATGGGAAGTCCCATCCTTAGCGCAGACAGTGCCACAGACAGGAAGCCGGCTTGTTTTGTTTTTATGACCAAAATTGCGGAAAATACTTGTAAAGTTTGACCAGCTAGAAGAGCGAGGTGTGCGAGAACGCTGAGACCCTTTTCCCACCTGGAACTCCACTCTTTTTCGTCGTCATGTCCCTCCGTTGTCAGACTACTCGCCCCCACTTCCTCATCCCCTCGGCCATATCTAGACCCACAGGGTATAGCACGGACCACGCTTCAATATTGAGCATAAATCAAAAATGTCTGCGTCAAGCTCACTGCGACACACTGCTGCAGGAGTATAACCAGTCCTTACACAATCGTTCTGATCTGAAAGACACATGTGATTACCGGTACAGTAGGGCTGGTGGTAACCAGGCAACGTTAAAATGACAGAATTTCGTTTGCCTTTGTTGTTCTGAATTTCCCTTGAAATATATATATGATACTGTTAGCCTACTTCCACTTAGCCTGCCTCAAATAAAATTTCGCTGTGATGGTAGAACAGTTTGCATAAATTTTTTATTTTTTTTTTACTTTGTTTCGCAAGTCCATTCTGTCTTTTTTTTTCGTATTGCCGTGCAGAAAAATTGCAGCTGCTGGAAGATGTCTGAATAATGTTCTGTATACCGTTATAGTAACTGTACTTTTTCAATAAGTGAACCTAGTATTTTATAGGTTCAAAGAGACACAAAACCTCGGTCCACTGGTAGTCTGTTTTGATTAAATAGAAATAGAGGCCTGCCTCTAATTCTGGCCTCCTTCGAATAATGGCCTGGAGCAAGATGCGCCTGAGTGAAATGAAGGCCCCGGCCAATATTAGAGGATTTACTGTATTCTTAAATGCACAGCTGTGAACACTCCGCCGTGTTCGCAGAAATCACTGCTGACACCGCGTCCGGTCCGAATGCCCCAGAAGAAAGGCTACGCTTTTATTTATTTACAATGTAATCAATGAAATAGATTGCTGTTTTTTGAATAGTTTTATTTATGCCCACTTTATCAAATAAATGTATTTTGCATTTGAACTTTTTTGAATGAAATTTAATGAAATCCTGCAACCTTATTTAATAAAACTACATTACCTTTTACTTTAACTTAATTTGCATTTAACATAATGCCTTAGTGAAACGTGTTTCTTACAAATATGAGAGAAAATTATTAAAAAAAAAATTCCGGCAGGTAAAAATATGCTTGGCCAGTGAGTCAAAAAGTAAATTTCAGACCCCGCGGATGTGTATAACACTAATGTGAATGGAAGGCTATACAAAAACAAACATGGCTGCGCTGGCTTTACTTGGAATAACCTCTATTTCTTTTATCCATAATTTTAATGTATCAGACTTTCAAAGTCATGTACCCATTTCTTTAAAGCCAAATATTGTATACATGGGCTGATTTTAGGAATCTTTTAAGATTGATTTGATTTTCTTTCCATCCACTCATTTTTTCTTTTCTTTTTTGTAATATATATATATATATATATATATATATATATATATATCAATTTGTCTGTCTGTCCTGCTCTTGTAGAGCCCGACCGATATGGGATTTTTAAGGCTGATATCGATAAAGAGGGCTTTAAAAAAAAACTGATATCCGATATATATCTGCCAGAATATAAAAGAAAAAACTGAACCTGGACATACACAGGATATGCACCGTCCAACTATAGTCCAACTCAAATTCTCATAACCAAAAATATGATTAAAGACAAAGAAATAGAATTAAAATTAGCAACTTTAATTTGAGCAGTGTCAACATAAGACTATAAATACAATCACATTTTTTTTGGTTCTGATTTAGATATTGCCTCACATTTGTTCTGTTTTTTTGCCTTATTGGTGCTGGAGCCCTGACTAACTTTAACACTGCATCCAACACCTGTTACATCGTTCATGAAGGGGCTCCACACCTTGGGTCCCTTTCAGGAAAGAAGTTTAACAAACTTAGATCCAGATTTGCATCTCTAAATTGATCTAGCCTAAAGTCGTGAACTCTGAGTTTTCTGTTTCACAACGGCTGCTATGAATTAACTCAATCACCTCTAAGTAGGTCCACTCAGGGTTGAACATGTACGAAAGAAGTTTGAAAAGCCATTATCAGTTGAGTCCCGATTCGACGAGTCAGCGTGGCAACAAGAAGTGCCTGTTTTACCCAACTAGAAAAAGAGATTTTAAATTGCTTCTTTTAAATTTGTTTATTTCACAAAGAGCTAAAATTGACTCTGAGCTAATATGTTTGCCAAAACTAGTGCATATAAAACTATCCTTCATGCGACCTAACAGCGTGTCTCCAGGAGGACATTTGTGGATATGGGGCACCCAAGTGTAGTTTTACAAAATCGAAGCTTACCATGGAGTTTACTGTTCTTCTCCCTCTTCGTCCACCTCCATGCTTATGCTAGCAGCAGCTATGTGAGCGTTTGTGTTTGAGGAAAGGTGTGGTGCATAGAGTTTACTGAGGGGAGGGCCGACACACAGCAGCTCAGCGCTCAGGAAGAGAGGCAGAGGAGCAGAGTCGGCGCTGACCGAAGGTTCTTTCAGCTCTTTGCTGCAAAAATAGAATTTTTATATTGGCCACATTTTCACTGATGTCGCTGATGCTAAATTGGTCTGATAAATTGGCCCGGCGATTAATCGGTCGGACTCTAGTCTCCTGACACCTTGTCCACTGCACTAATCCATGTTTTTGTCCTCTATTATTGTTTCTGTCAGTCAGTGTGTTTCTCTTTTTGTTCACTGTCCATCTTTATGATCAGTCATGTTGTATTTTGCCTGTGTGCCTCTTCATGTCCACTCATCTTTTGTCCACTTGCCCGTTATTAATTGATCCATTTGTCAATGTGGACCTTTGTCCCACTCCCTCATTAGAACACCTCTAATTGTACCATAGAGCAAGAAAATGGTGGTAAATTTGTCCACCATCTCAACCCCAACAATCAACACATTTCTTCCATTTTGGTTGGAGAGTCTTTAGCCTTTGGGTCACTGAATGTTTCCTTCCTCTCATTCCAATCCCATAATCCAGCAAAAAAACTCCTGGCTCTTGTGCCACTTGTTTAGACAGTAATGAGGTTAAGGGAAAAGGATAAATGCTGGATTACAGCTTTGCAGGATGGTTTAAATGTCTGTTTATATGTAGCTTCTAGATACTTCACACAAATGGAGGGCTCTGGCCCATTTGCTTTCGTTTCCTCAAAAGGAGGGGTTGTCTCTGAGCAGATGTTATGAGTCGATGGGATGTGTTTTAGCTGTTAGCTACGTGCTATAAATCTTATGCCGTTCCCTAGATACACAATCCAAAATGGAGGTCGATTCAGCACTGACCCTCAGTTAATTTTAAAGGTCAAGATGCAGTTTTTAAACCTACTCAAAATTTAATTAACCAAGGATGTCTCTATCTCTTTCCCTGCTGGTTTTGCCTGTCAGATTGGAAGTCACATATGATGCATTTAGTATGTGAAGCGGTTACATAATTAATTTCTAAATACAATGCATGCACCTTGTTCTGTTTTCCCAAAGGCGTCATCTCAGTCCGGCCAAGCTCTGAAGTTCACCACCTCTGACTCCTGTGACCGAATCAAAGATGAGTTCCAGTTCCTGCAAGCACAGTATCACAGGTAAACACACGCACACTGTAATTTTGTCAATTTTAGCTCAGTAAAGTCCTAATTTTTAACATAGTGAGACCTTTGCAGGCCTGCATTTATTCCCCAGCGGAATGTGTATTGCAGTAGAAAAATGCTCCTCATGTTCAACAACATTTTACAAAGTTATACATTTGAACACTGATAAATTCACATCCCAGGCAGATTAAGATTTGGTGCTTTTTACCAACATGTTTGGACGTTTTAGAGCGAATCTGAGTAGAAGATGACTGTTTTCACACTCAAAAGACGTGGGGTTTATCGCTAAAAATAAGTGATCAATATACTGATAACATGCTCTGCAAGGATAAAAAGGGTGGGATTTATGAAACGCTAATATAATATAAAATAAATAGTAATCTAACCTCTTGGTGAAAGGAATATATCAATATAAATCTGCCTATAATTATTACAATATGACCATTTTTAGGATATTTATCTTTTAAAAACAGTATTTCATCATTTTGATAACGTACTTAACATGTTTTAAATAGACCCACAGTTTTCCTTGTTTTTTAATTACAGATTTTTGAAAAATAAATTTGAGTAAAATTGTGTTTTTTTTTTTTTTTATCTTTTTGGTCATGAGATGCAGAGTAAAAGCAGGGCTTTGTGTCTGTGGTCTAAAATTCATATAATGTTTCCATCCAGTTTGAAGTTGGAGTGTGATAAGCTGGCCTCAGAGAAGTCAGAGATGCAGCGTCACTACATCATGGTGAGTTTGCAAAATCTTCTCTCTAATTGTTCAGCTCCATGTAATTACCGATGCTTACTTAGAAGTTGTTCATAAAGGGGATTTGAGTTGATTTTACTTCTTGTCTTTGTCAAATTGTTTTGTTACAGTATTATGAAATGTCCTATGGGCTCAACATTGAAATGCACAAACAGGTACGTCAATGTCTTTTAGAAGAAACCCTTTTGATATCAGGCTGTTAGTGTTTCCTTGTTCTGACTATATGTAATGTTTTCTTTTCAGGCTGAAATAGTGAAGAGACTGAATGGGATCTGTGCTCAGGTGCTGCCTTACCTTTCCCAGGAGGTAAGATACCTTCATGTGTTTTTAAACAAGTTCGACCAACCCTTCAAGTTTTCATACCTCTCTAACTAGTATTCTGCATTTTTTCCCCAAACAAGGAGTTGATTTTTCTGTAAAATACTCTGATAAACTCTGAGCTTGAACTGGATTTCAGCCACCATATTCGCTCCTATTATCAGGCATTTGTAGATAGATTGAGTAAGACAGAGCCAGCCAATGACTGACGCCAAACTCGAGGCTGAATTAAAGAGGCAGATGCATGCGCTGCGGCACTCTGCTTGGAGGTGGCCGCCTGCTTGAGCTGCACTTTAGAGGAAAACTATCTTTCCTTTTATGAGTTAAGTTTTAATTGTTCAAAGGTGAGATTGCTTATTCAGGCGACCCTAACACACCTATGCCGTTGATTTGATTAACCTTGATTGCTGCTCTATCTATATGTCTAGAGTCACTCAGCTAGAAGGTGAACCTTTTCTTCTTTTGCTGCCTTGCAATTGTCTTATATTTATCTCCATGTCCTAAATTTGTGACTAGCTTTTCTCTTAGATAAGGGAGGGGGGTGCTTTTTCTTTCTGCACACATTTTGGCCAAAAACTTTGATTTTGGCTTCATTTGACAAGAAAAGTTCCTCATTTATCTCAGCCGAATAGAAGCGTCCCCACACCATAATGCTTCTACAGCCATATTGTAATTTTACCATAAACTACGGATATAAATATTCTCCATTTGATAGATTTTCTTCAAACACCATTAAAAGGCAGGGAAAAAAATCAGATTTTTGTTTTTTAATGTTTCTACTTGTCAACATTTCTGCCTTTTTGTATATATGATATTGATGTTTCCCCTTTTCAGCACCAACAGCAAGTCATGGGCGCCATAGAGAGAGCCAAGCAGGTCACACCTCCTGAGATGAACTCCATCATACGGGTGAGCAAACCTGGTGACTTTTAACCCCTGCTGTGATTCAGATGTTGCTGGGAGCCATTCAGGCTTGTTGCAGAAATATGATCTGCTGTCATCCAATCCACCTTATGAAAGATCCAAGCAACTTTCTGGATGTTCTCTTCACAGACATGTATTACTTTTTTTGCTCCATGTAAGGGAACTATTATAACATTAGTAGGTAATCAGTTGCTATGATGTTAGTAGCATTTTGTGCAAGATTATTGTATAGAAAGATTTCTGCCAAACATTTTGCCAAACTATACTGTCCAAAATTAATAAGACAAATGGAGGGATAAGCTGTTTAAAATGCCTTAACTTAATTAAACCTTTATTGCAGAAGCACAATTTTTACTGAAGGCAGAAACCAACCCTAAGAGTACATTTGAGCCTCTGTTGCTACACATTTAGATTTATGTTCTACTAAATAAATTTTGTTTATTAGAAGTTTTCTCCATTGAATAAATGATTTAGTAAAAAAACTGCCAAAATCTGGATTTACTTGAAGGCTTTTTAGAGGTTTTGTTAGTTAGGGTTCTGTTTCTTTTTTTTTTTATCTTGGTCTAGAATGAGTGATTAAAACACCAATTGATGGCTGCTAAAAATGTATCGCTCAATTTAATGATTTTTTTGGACTCACCTTCTTGTTCTGTTTGTTCGTTTGCAGCAACAGCTGCAGGTGCAGCACCTGTCCCAGCTCCAGGGCCTGACCCTGCCCGTGACCCCGCTGCCCCTGGGCCTCACCCCCCCCTCCCTGCCTGCGGTCTCCTCCAGCTCAGGCCTGCTCTCCCTCTCCTCCATCCTGGCCAACTACTCTCACAGCCAGCCGCAGGCAGGGAAGGAGGACAAGGCCAGAGACGGTGCAGAGAGAGCGCCCAGGGGAGACGATGGCGACAAGTCAGACTAGTGAAGGCTCACAGAGGTCATTGGGCTGAGGGTAGTGGGAGCTAGTATGTTGGGGTTGGGGGGTGTAAGTGTTTAAAAGGAAAACTGACTGTAAACGGGGGTTGATGCACGACTGACTGCTGAGCGTTGTAGAGAACTACGCAGAAATGATAATGATGAGGATTCTGAAACGCTTAAAATGAGAGCTAAAGTCTGTGTGGTTTAGTGGTCAATGGCTCGGTTCAGACCTCAGAAGTTCAATAGTTTCTTTGTGTGTGATCAGTTGTTATTAGCCCTAACGGATATAAATGTTGTTGCTTTTGCAGGGAGGGCTGACTGAGCAGCTGGCCTTCTTCACTGTTTGTTTGCCATGTCTCCTGTAGTCACACAGCAACAATAAGCAGGTTTAAAATCACCCTGGATCTTTATATCATTTGCTTTCCTTCTTTGTAGGTAACAGAGGCACCGCTATCAGTTTATCTCCAATAAACTCTCCCACCTGTTCCCTCGGATATGGCTTTAAAGTATGAAATAATCTTTTTTGAAGTGTAATGCTCATCCCAAACAAGCAACAAATTGATCCAACATGGAGCTGGTGTCCCTTCAGTTATTACACTGGATGAACTCTGTTTTTGAGCTGAGTCCTTTCGAGATGAGTTTAACGTCATTTTATTTTCAGGACCAGACTGAAGAGTTTTTTTTTTCTTTTCTCTTGATTGTTCAATCCAGCTTTCTGATAGCTTGGAAAATGCAGCATTTACGGCCTGTAGCTCCCAGAACTCTGAAATCCATGTGATTCAGCTTTCTTTCAGTTCATTATTTTAACTTACTCTAAACTTAATCGTCTTCAATGTTCACCAGCTTTTTGTAATCCAGGAGCTGCTTCTTTTCCACCTTTAACTGACATCATTTTTGATTGATTGGAGGTGAAGGAAAGGTGACAGACGGGAACTGTTTGCTTTTTAAATATTCTCTCGTTATAGAACGCCGACATAAAGCAGTAGCTATAATCAAAGCAACTAAAAACACCTCAGATACCAGAATACTCTCATGTTTTCCTCTCCTTTTGGGCTTCAGATCCTTCTTCAAATAGATTTTCGGTGAGTTGTATGCATGCTGCATCAATTCTCGTTCCGTGTTGGTTTCCGTGTTCAGGGGAATCGAGCTGCTGCCGTATTAGATTGATTTTTATACCTTGGGGTAAAATGGTGTTTGCTTCTGTAAAGATTTCTTTTTCTTTGTTTGCACTTCAATGTTTCACATGATCAAAGAAGTTTAATTCTAGAAAAAAAATTGTTGGAAAAAAATTTGTGCAGCTCTTATTTATTAAGCGGGTAAAAAGTTTCCAAACCAACCTGCCTGCTTGTGCCATCAATGGTTGCCATAAATGACTGGGAATCTTTGGATAGTTTTCAGGACAAAACAATCAAATTCGTGTCCAGATTCTGCATAGGCCTCTCAAAAATCATTATTTTGGTTTGTTTGGCTATGAAGTTGTACCAGACCATCATCAGCTGTTCCTTCTCATTCTCTACCCCCCAACCCCCCCCCCCCCCCCCAATTAGTCTTAATGTGAGGCTTCGGTTTCAAGCCATCAACAGGTTTATCTGAGAAACCCTAACCAGATCAGCGGTCTCAAACTCCAGTCCTGCATCTTGCACTGTCTAGACACATCTATGCTTCAACCCACTTGACTCCAACATGACCTACTTGGTAGAGTTCTGCACTGCCAGATTGCTGCTAGTGAAATATTTTAACCATTTGATTCAGGGATGTAGGGAAAAGGTCACATCTAAAAGTTGCAGGCTTTGAGGTTTAGTGTTTGAGACCACCGTCTGAATGCCTGATGTTAAAAGATTATTTTATGGTTAATGTTGCTGTGGTTCACCAGAGTCTCAGTCTTAGTAAGTCCTGAGGCTTCATTTGTATTTGAGTCTTCATGTGGCCATGATTTCTCAACAGGGGTAGCTATGCTGTCAAAGGGGCAGGTTGGTTTGGCTTAATTTACAATTTGAAGTAGAAAAACTTTCTTATTATTATCTCTTAAACGAATTTAGGATTGTGTTTTACAACAAAAGGAGAGAAACGTGACATTTGCAAATTCAAATCAATGTAAATAGTCTATCATGGTTGGACTTTTAGTTTTTAGGCAGCAGAGGGCAGCATTGCTCTCTTTTTGTGGCTGATTTGTGATTGCTTCACCCCCTTTACTTTGATTACTAAGCCCTCGAATTAGCATTAAAAACTCTTTATCTTAATTTGAAGCACTTAAGTATCAGTACAGTTAAGCTTTTCCTCTGTATGAAGACGGTAAAAGGTTTCCTTCTTTTCTTTTAAAATTCTTTACTTCAAAACATCTTCAAGCTCGCTCTCCTAAAACTGTTTGGCAAAACTCTGACATGTGAATAGTTTGTGCATTTGTTTTGCTGTGAAGGGCCAATTTGTATACATACGAATATATCAATATACATATTTTTTAAAGCATTTTTGTATGTTTCAAAGCTGCTTTTTAATGTGTGTGTATATAAAAGACCTTGGTGTCGTGTGTGTATGTGCGCGCATTACATGCCTAAAGGCACAATGTTGTATAACATGATTTGGGGTTTTTTTTCTGGTTGATTTTCTTCTTATCATCTTGTAACATTAATTCTAGTTTTCTAAATGTTTTTTCTTTTTCTTTCTGTGCAAAAAAACTACACAAAAACAACCCTGTTAAATGTCTTTGAGACACATTTTAAGACACCTGGGACAAAAAAAAAATGTAAGCAAGCAGCTTGTACTTAAGAATGAATCAACCTTTTAGCAGTAAGGAAGCTTCTCTGGTGCCTTACAAATAAAAGATGTGATTAAGAGTGGCCATGTGTGTTGTTAATCATTTACTACCCATGCCAAGGATAAAAACAAAACGGTTCGGCTTCCAGGTTTATCGGAAGTGCTGGTTTGTAGATCTTTACTGAAAGTTATTTTTCCAGAAACTTTTTATAATTTGTCCGTTATGTCCCTTTCCTCCCTTGTTAACATGTCTCTTCCTTATTTCTTTCCTTCACTTTTTACTTCAAAACCATCAATGGAGAGAAACTGACTGACCTGCAAAAAAAAAAAAAAAAAAAGATTTACAGAAATTAAAACAAATCTTTTTTTTTTTTATTATCATTTAGAAGTTACAATTCAACTATCCTAGTGAAAGGGTTTTTTTTTTTAAAAGGAGAAAAAGCCCGAAGTTCTAAATGTGTTCCTCTATGCATTATAAAAATCTGGAAACTCTGTAAAATCCTTTAGGTTGTGTTAAAAATACAGCAGTCTGATAAAGATTTTTTGCAATATATATAATATATATATATACACACGCACACAGTGTTTTCATGAGCAGCTTTTCCCTCCACTTAAGCATATTTAGATAGAAACTGTTTCAATTCATACCACGTTAACATGTAACAGTCATTAAAGTAACTAAATGTGCTTAAGTAGATGCAAAAGATGCATGAAGCATTTTTTTTCAGATCAAATACACCGAATTGTTTTGAGTATTGTAGTGTCATCTAGTGGTCTGAACTATCAAAACAATGTGATAGGGCTGGGTCATATGGCTTAAAAAAAGAGAATTCCTACTGAATTTGATTTACCTTTTTTTTTTCCTTAAGTTTCATAACAAAAATGACTAATTGCTTTCAGAAATTAGCTTTAATTTCAATCATCCCCTCTACATTTCAAGGGTAGTGAAATTGAAACTGTAAAACATGTTTAAGTAAATTTAGAAATCATTTTGCCACAAAAAATGACTTTGCTGTAATTTTAAATTAATCCAGGTGGAGAGGGGTTTAGAGTTTTATTTTTATTTATGAGATATTAGACCAAGATAAAAAAATAACTTCTGACAAAAAAAAAAAAAAAAAAAATCAATAGTTCTTAATATAAGCTGTCATGACATTTTCAGACACAGATGCAAGTAAAGTATAGAGCGGCCTTCTTTACTGATAGAACTTTCCAGATTCTGCTCTTTTGTGGTCTACTGTGTATAAATGGGATTTAGCCTCATAAATGAAAACATGCTTTCAAAGGTGGTTCATAGCTACCTGGGTTTGATTTATGTCATATTTTCTTTTACATTCTGGTTAACTGGCCCAAACTGGGATGAGAACCACATCCAATCAAAATAGAATCCAATTGAAAATCAAAAAAAGAACCAATTACTGCTGACAATCAGTTAAAACCTGTTTGAGGTAAATGGAGTACGTCCAACACGTCTGTAATAATAAAATTCCTTCTAACACAGAAGGATTATGCTTCTAAAAGGAGGAAAAAACATTATTCACAGCTTTCTGTTGAGCTGCGTGTCTGATGTGGCAAGGCTGGCCCATTCCACTGTTAGGAATCTCACAACTGTTAGCAGCAGGTCCAGACATGAACCCTGCGTCACGTTCTGAATGAAACAGCAGAGAAGAACAACTGAAGTATTTCCTACATGAAAGTCGATGTTATGAAATTTATTCCATCTTCCTGCTGGAAGTGGAACACGGGAGGAATTGGAGTTGGGTGAAGCCTCACAGTAGCTAATATGGGGTGGAGGTTTAAAGAATGAGCATAGGATCAAAAATGCAAAGCAAAATACATATAAATGTGCTTCAAAAAGGGTAACAAAATTCCACCAACTGCTTTTGATATTGAAAACGTAGTGCAAGAGGAACTGGAACAATTTTTCCTTTTGTTTTCATGTCTAACAGTTGGCCGTTATTGAACAAGAGACTCATCTACTGACAGTCAAGTTGGGGTCTGGATTAAATTTGATCCCCTGTAGCTGAAACTGAAAACATTTAAACTGGTCCAACAGGAAGTAAATTGTTCTACACCATCCAGAGACTCTTTACAAATACCATCAGAAATGTATGAAATCTTTATTGTATTTTATTTCTTGCTTTTTTTGGCAATATAATCATTTTACCTTGAGACAAGCTTCAAAACAATATATACAAAAAATCTAATCAGGAGGGAATTATTCGGACCTTTATCAGATTCTTTAAAATACAGATTATATTTGGAGAAATTAGATAGCCATTAATGGTAGAACTGACACTGCTACATAGAAAACCTGTTAATCTTGAAATGATACAATATTTATCACATATAATTGTTTTAATCAGGATAACAACACTATATAAGGCGGCCTTTGAGAAACAGGGAATTAAAACATTTTTGTGTCACATGCATTCCAATAGGATAAAAACACATGCATAGAAAAAGGAAAATGATGTGCAGATACATTCAGATCGAGTGTATATAAAAGCTGCAACAGTCATCTTCGACTGGAGCAACATAGATAGCATTTAGCACTCAGAGGCTCGTTACTTGAACCTCCTCTTTCAATTTGTTTAAAAATGGTCACTTAATTTGGCACGAGTATGAAAGCAGAGTCATTAATGGAACATATAAAACATAATAGCTGTAAACTGTTGCACAAATCCACACACACGCACAAAAGTCAATATGGCACTTTTCTGGCAGCAACTGCCCCCACCTTAATACCAGTCATAAAGTTTATGCTCCAATGAGTTTTTGGGACTCTATTTTTCATAGTTGTAGAATAACTATTTGTGTGTTGAAAGCATAGTTCTGTGGATAACGGAGCTGCTGTCACATGTTTTGTTCGGATCGTCGCCCTCCTCAATAGCTTATGCCTGTCCAGGACTGCTGTAATGGTTTCCGCATTCAAGTTGGTCCACCTCTGCAGGATCAGCTTGTGTGCTGGGCTGAGGCCGTGGC